TGTGCACAGTGGTGCTATCTGGGAGGAGGTTGTGACTGCATCAACTCTGGTGGGTATTAGGCAGTTGTAGCTGGGTGAGGAAGCATGGCTTATCTGGCTCAGGGACATTCAGTGAATATGAGCTCCAGGCAACTCTAGCAACTGGGGCCCATGTTGGTGGGACTATAGGAATTCTTGGTGGCAAAGACTGCAGTGGCCTATGGCAGCAGTATGGACAGATGAGGTCCTTGGTAGCCAGAGCTGCTGGGGTCCTCCTACTCTCCTTTCCCACCAAGGAGGACCTGGTGGCTGAAGGAATCCCTATTGGCACTGAGCTGCTTTAGCCTGGAGAAGGGGTGACACAGGTAAGATGGAACTGTTTTTTATATACAGTAATCACCAAGATTGCTTTTGTTTTGTTTTCCTCAGCTGGGTTCCTGCTTAACTGGGCTTCAAAGCTCTCCCAGAATTACTTTCACTTGTGGGTAGTTGTCACATCGTTGTTTTTTGGGATATGAGGCCTGGGACCCCTAGTCTAACATCCTGCTGATACCAATGCTCCTCACATGCTCATTCTACTTTGCTGGGTTTCATGTTGCTGAGGGAGAAGGACTGGGTGGTTCTGGAAGGAAAAAGAGGGCCCTGGGCCTGGATTCTCAGGGTATACAGGAAACACTCTCATTTTTATGCCCTCTAGTATGTTGATTTCCATGCCCAGACACCCTGGCTACCAAGAGGAGGCCAAGAGAAGCTTCCCTGACATCTGCCATCAGCCATAAACCCTGGCATGTCACCATCACAGAACTGGAGTAATCCTATCCAGACTCTCCGGAGTGGAGTTGGAGTCAGGATCCCACTTTGCTTATCGTCTCATGGCAAGGGAGCCTGAGCTCGCTCCAGGGCCTGGCCATGCTCCAGCCAGCTCTAGGTTTCCTGGGTCTGTGGCTGGACAGAGATGCGGACTCAGGCTCAGGAGCAGCACTTAGGCCAGTCAGCGTCCTGCTCATTCGGTGACACTGCAGGTGTCCATCATCCCTACTCTGCACCAGGCCTGCTGTCAGTGCTGGGACACAGGGATGACTCTCTACTCCTCAGGGTGCTCACATTTTAGTGGAGGAGACAGGAGCTCACTCTTGTCTGTCACAGAACAACAGGTAGTGACAGAGGCCATGGAAGGTACAGAGAGTATGCAAGGGAGAGTGACCAGTTCTGCAGGCCACACGGCATTTTTTTCTGACTAATTTTTTCTAAGCCCAAGTGTATACACTGAGCCCAAATATAGTCCTGGGAAGTCATTCAGAATTTTCAGTTTGGTTTGAAAAATATGCCTGGCACCTCCTGGAGACCCAACCCTGCGCTGGGTGTTAGGGATAGACACATGAGGAGGATATAAGTTCTGCCCTCAAAGCACTCCCCTGAAGTAGAGGAGACAGATATAAAAATAGATAATCATGATGTAAGCTGGTGAATGCCATAATTGGGGTGTGTAAAGGGTATTTGGCAAGAGCTGTAACTGAGTAGGAAGCAGTCACGGGCACCAATGGACCTGCATCCATTAGAGCCAGAAAGTATGACTCAATACGCCAGGTCAATAATAATACTTTCCTTTCTAAACCTCCAGCTGACTTAACAGTTATTATGGACCAGGCACTGTGCTAATCACTTTTCTACTAGCTCATCTAGTTCTTATAGAAACTCCATTGGGTATTAAAAAACAATAGGAAAATGACTTAACATTATATTTCATTAGGGAATTACAAGTTAAAACAATAATGAGATACCACTACATACTAATTAGACTGGCCAAAATACAAAACACTGACAATGCCAAATGTTGGCAAGGATGTGGAGCAAACATTCATTGCTGGTGGGAATGCAAAATGGAATAGCCACTTTGGAAGAGAATGTGGCGGTTTCTAACAAAACTAAACACACTCTTACCATATGATTCAGCAATTGCACTCCTCAATATTTACCCAAGTGAGTTAAAAACTTATGTACACAGAGGAACCTGCATATGGACGTGTATAGCAGCTTTATCCACAATTGCCCAAACTTGGAAGCAACCAGTATTTCCTTCAGTAGATAGATACGTAAACCATAGTATATGCAGACAATGGAGTATTTTTTTTCTTTTCTAAATCTTTTTTTTTCATTTTATTTTATCATATTATGGGGGTACAAATATTGTTAGGGTTACATATATTGCCCCTGCCATTCCTCCCCCGCCTTAGCAAAACCTAGAACATGTCCTACCCCCAGGTGGTGCGCATCGCACCTATTTTGTACGTATATATCCTTCGCCTCCTCCCCCCTCCCGTCTGCCCACCACCCGCTAAAAGTTTTTTTTTTTTTTTTCCTTTTTTTGACCTTTGGGTTACATTGTATATCTTTGCCTTTCCCTATGAAGGGTTAGGAGTATTATCCAGTGCTAAAAAGAAATGAACTGTCAAGCCATGAAAAGAAATGGACGAACCTTAGAGGCATACCACTAAGAGAAAGAAGCCAATCTGAAAAGGCTACATGTTGCATGATTCCAACTCTAATGACATTCCGAGAAAGGAAAAACTATGGGGGTGATAAAAAAATCAGGGTTATAAGGAATGGGGTGGGAGAGATAAACAGGGGGAGCAGAGGGTTTTTAAGGCAGTGAAACTATTTTCTATGATACTACAACGGTGGATACATACCATAATATTAATACATCTGTCAAAACCTATACAATGTACAACACCAAGAGTGACCCCTAATGTAAGCTATGGACTCTGGGTGATAATGATGTGTCAAGGAAGGGTCATCAGTCACAGCAAATGTCCCCTCTAGTGAGGGACGTTCATAGTGAGAGAGGCCGTGTAGAGACAGGGGTAAGTATGGGAATCTCTGTACTTTCAGCTCAATTTTGTTGTGAATCTAAATCTGCTCTGAAAAACAAAATCTATTAAAAAATAGAAAAATGAGAAAGGAATAGTTGTTTCTATTTCCTGAGGCCCTCTGATCAGCTGGGTAGTGGGTTTAGGGCTTCGGATTCACTTTGGTCTCCATGATAAACCTTGGAGGCAGGTGCCATGCTCGTCATCTTCTGACACCAACGGAGCGATCAGGGCTTTCAAGGATTAAGGAAGGAACTTGCCCAGGTTCTTACAAGAGGAGCGAGATCCAATCTTCCAGTCAGGTTGTCCTGATTCAGCACCGGGCTATTTAACCACTGTGCTAGACTCCTACTCTGAAGTCCAGGCCGTAATCTCACTTTGGGACAGCCTGCGGCTGGTCCACACCATATTGGCAGAACGACATACTTCCTCCACTCACTCATTTACTGCTTTGGTCACCAGGTGCTGGCTCCCCGTCTGTAGCAGGCCCTGTTCAGTGAGTGCCATGTTCTTTTTCACTGTCCTCAGAGGCAGGAACCTTGAAATACCTGTTCTGCTCCCTGTGGCTCTGACCACCTGGATCAGATGTGAACACTGGAATTCCAGCCAGTCAGCACAATGACCTGCCCCTATTGGACCGTTTGAAAGTGTGGCAAAGTCCCTGTAGTGAAATGGCACAGCGCCAAAGGATACCAGGACATTAAAAGACAGACGATGTATGAAGGAGTGCCTGGCACGGTTTCAAGCCAACGAACCGTCAGTTCTGCGTGAAGCTGCACATTTGTCCTGAAGGCCTAGTCCCAGGCTGAGCCGCAGAGAGTTCTGGGCAGAAGTGAGAGGGCAAGGTAGAGGAATTCTTCGCCTGTGTCCCCAGCAGGCAGGATTTGGGTCTGAATTAGCCAGATCAAGGCTCCAATAGTCCTTCACTTTGGCTAGCGGGATGCAGCGGGGGCCTGGCACTGTACTCGCAGGTGTAGCTGTAAAATCATCGTAGTTGTAGTTGTTGGTGCAGATAACTGAACACACATATATGAACACAACCATATGAAAACCGAGAAACGCACCTTCGAGTCCACACGAGCTCCAGCATGCCTGGGATAGCTGTTTGCGGTTGCGGGGTGCTCGCTGTCTCCCACGTCGTGCAGCGCTGGCATCTCTTCCCGTCTCCATATCGCAGAGAGTTGGTTTCCCAGCACCGCACACCCAGACTCCCAGCTTGGGTGTCTGTCTGCTTTAAACCTTACGCTGAAATGTCAGCCTCAGTGTTGCAGATGGGGCCTAATCGGAGGGGTTTGGGTCATGGGGACCGATCCCTCAGAAATGGCCTGGTGACACCCTTGTGGCGATGAGTGAGTTCTCACTGTTAGCTCACGAGAGAACTGACAATAAAAAGAGCTGGCATCGGCCTTCCCTCGCTGGCTTCCTCTCTCGCCTTGGGATCTGCACTGCCCCCCCCCCACGAGTGGAGTTCTCTGAAGCCCTCACCGGGAGCAAAGGCCAGCACCAGGTTTCTTGCACAGCCTGCAGAACCGTGAGCCAAATAAATCTCTTTTCTTTATAAATTACCCAGCTTCAGATATTCCTTTACAGCAGCACAAATAAAGGCACTGTCTCGTTCAAATGAGCTCCATCACTTCCTGGCTGTGGGACCTGGGGAAACTTACTTAACCTCTCTGGGCTTCCATTTTCTCCTCTGTAATGAGGAGAGTAATGACCCTCTTAGGGTCATGGTAAACATTACATAATTTAATAAAATGCCTAGATGATTACCATTACTATTATATTGGGAAGACACAGATGAAGTATCTGTGTTTTTCTCTCCCAGGGAAAGAAGTCCAGGCTTGGAGTAGCTGTGTAGGAGCGGGGTGTAGCTTGTTGTCCTGGCTGTATACTGGTGATAACGGGTTGGGCAGAAAGAGTTTGCTGCGTCCGGCTGTCCCAGTGCTTTCCTTGCAACTCTAATGTGCTCCAGAAGGTAGAGACCATGGCTTTCACCTTTCCCACATTCCAGTGCAGGCCTCCACATAGATTAGGTGCTCGATAGATACCTGAAATTAAACGAAGTTCATTTCTAGACTTTAATTTCCTTGAGGCATGGACTATGTCTGGCCCATCTTTATGTAAGATTCAATATAGCTTTGCTCCTGGTAGGAGGTCGGAGTGTGCTTGTTGGATGAATGCTGCTTGCCTTCCGTGAGATGGACGCCACAGCCTTCAGGAACACCACGGGGGAACATCAATACGTGTTGCACTCTAGAAAGCAGATCATTTACAGTGGTAAGGATTTTAAATAAATGTGCATCTCCTATAATCTGGTAGGTTCTGTGAGATAGCAAAAAGAGGAATGAGTGTAATCAAGACACTGGTGGGCACCTTTGGTTCCACATTCAGTGGGCGTAATAACAGATGCTTTGCAGGATCTACCCAAGGATTAAAGAAGACCCTTCTCTTAGAAACCCATAAAAGCATCGTTACTTTCCAAGTGCGTTTACTGAGGTCTCGGGCGCCTGGGCCCGGGCTGGGGCTGGGACGCAACCATGACCACACATGGGCCAGCTCGCCGGTGCGAGGAAGCTGGGCGCGCGAAGGGCCGGTTCCCACACCAGCCAGGCTGAAGGGCTGTGCGTCTTCAACTCTATGACCTATCAGTTGTGAGATGTGCTATTGATTTTAAAGCATTTTGGAGAAAATAATTGCTATATTACACGTTCACATCCTGGTATCAGAAAGGATAAAACGTGAAAAAAATTCTCTTAGCACTGAAAACAACGTAGCATGTTTTAACGCCAACATGCAAAGCTGAGGGCATAGAAAACGCCCTCAACTTCTAGGCTGGGAGCAGTCAGAGACGCGGCACTGCACTCCCAAGGGCGGCTTCAGAAATCTGCCTGCGGGGAAGGGGCAGTGGTAGGAGAGGGGACAGAACCCGGCATGGCCTTTAGAGCCTGTGGGCATCTAGAGAGGGGGGTAAGTGCTGCTGGAGGGTGTCCGTGCTCCTGGGTCCAACAGGCACTAGACCCTCTGGAAAGAGTCAGAGAAGTCTGGGTTCAAATCCCAGCTCTGCCACTCACTGGCAAAGCTGGAGTAAATGTTCCGTGTTCTCTGAGCTTCTTTCCGTGCAAAATGGGCATAGAAATCATTACTTCCGGCTGTGGTAAGGTTTACACAAGAAAAGAACGTGAGACCATGTGGGGCAAGGCCTGGCACAGAGCAGGCAGGACAGAGCTTCCAGTTAGACACTTTTGCCTCCAACGCCGCCCCTCCCCCACAAGCAGGCCTGTGGAAACCGCAGGGCCGGAGGCTGAGCAGTGGCAGGCAGTTTACAGCTTCCCCCACGGGCCAGGCTGGAGACTGGGCCTGGGTGAGGGCCTGGGTGAGGGCCTGGGTGAGGGCCTGGGTGAGGGCAGGCCTGGGTGAGGGAGGGCCTGGGTGAGGGAGGGCCTGGGTGAGGGAGGGCCTGGGTGAGGGAGGGCCTGGGTGAGGGAGGGCCTGGGTGAGGGCAGGGCCTGGGTGAGGGAGGGCCTGGGTGAGGGAGGGCCTGGGTGAGGGAGGACCTGGGTGAGGGCCCCGCCCAGGGAACACAGCAGTGTGTGCGCTGGAGCGAGCATTCCTGCACCGATTCTCCCTGCAACGTGGGGCCTCTGCACCCCTCTCCTGCCGTCCCTCGCCTCCTGGACCCCAGGCCCCTCTCCACTCCCGCGTCTTGCCAGAGCCATCAGATATCGCGTCACGTGAACCAGGCAGACCGCCAGCTGGTCAGCGCTTACACAACTGGTGGCGCCTACTTACAGTGTCTGAGAGACTCACCACCCTGTCGGGACCCCGGGGCGGAGAGCAATTACCGCGCCTGCTTTCTTCTCCTTCTCTTTTTTTTCCTCTTGTACAAGTACAGTATGAATTGGTATTTTCCTCAGAGTTCCCTCCTCGTCCCTTAAAGCGACAGAGGAAAGAAAAGGTATCCGTCCCCTCAGACCACAGAGGAAGGCTCTGTGGACCTGGGCAAGGAAGGAAGACGGTGGCCGTCCCTCTCTCCAGAGAGGGTTTGTGGGAGGGTCACCCTGGCGGGCTCAGAGGCCGCAGGCTGGGTGTGGTCCCCACACGAGTTCTGGGCGACGCGGAGTTCAGAATCCACTGCGTATGCAGGGAACTTTGTAAGTGGCACTGTGTCAGCCCGGTTCCCGAACTCAGACTGTGCTCCAGACTGGCACGTCTTTGCCCCATGTTGTTCACCTTGGCAAAGGCGGACAGGATGCTACTTGCCCTTCAAGTAGTAATTTCTAAGTAACATTCTAGTAACTTCTAATAATATAATTTCCCGAGTTTCACAAACATTTATGGATGGGGAGAGGGAAGAGGAGTTGGGAGGCAAGGGATTATTTGGGAAGCTCCATTTGCTGAAGGTTTTCAGGATGGATTGATCTAAGAGAGTGGGAAAGAACCAGTCACCATTCAGAATTCTGCAGGTCAGAGCATGGTTACCATTTCCTCATTTTTTGGTTTTTGTTTTTATGGTGGTGACATGCCCTAGGGAAGGCAATGTGACATCACATGATTTTCGGAGATTACTCACTATAGTTGACCATATAACTTGTGGTAAACTGTGACACGTTTGAGAGTGAAGGTGGGTAATATTAATAATTATGGTGGGACAACTATTCTGGACTTGGGCAGTGCCGAACAAACAAGGGCATGAGGTCACCCTACGCATCTGGCACTTGTGCACAGCAGGCGTAAGGACGAGGGTCTTGCAGTGAGCTGGACTGCAGCGAGGTTGTCCCAAAGCTCACACACTAATGTCCACGCACCACGCTCAGGGGTGACCGTCAGTTCCTCCTTCCTCAGAACATATTTGTGCTGCATTTCCTTGGGCAGCAAACCGGAAAGGCGATGATGAGCGTTGGGCCCAGGTAGCCAGCAATGACAAATGACAGGCTAAGGTTGCATTGTCCCAAAAAGCAGAGCCTCAAGAAAACTTTTAGTGCTTAGAAAAAAGCTCCGTTCAGCTCCACAGCTCCTTCTATTTAAAATGATTCTGAATTATCAAGAAAATGTAAGTTATTCCACAGCCATTTACTGATCATCTTCCCTGAGCTAGAGATTGAGAAGTAAAGACAAATGAGGCCCAGTACCTGACTTCCTGGGACAGGAAACAGCTGAGAAAACAACTGTTTATTCTGCCTGAGATGACTGAGGGCTTCCTGGAGGAGGTGATATCAGAGCGGGCTTTGAGGTATGGTCGGACATTCAGGAGGCAGAGAATGGCCACAAGGGCTTCCTGGGCAGGGGAAACAGCAAGAGCAAGAGCACATGGTGCTTGGAAGCAGCAGGGCTCACAGGGAGGACCCATCAGCAGACTGGCAGAAGGAGGAGGATCAGGATGGGCCGGACAGGAACCTCTCTGGAGATTTCTCCAGTCATACAGATTCCAAGTTTAAAAATTCAAGAGAAGGTTACAAATAAAGTACATTTAGTTTTTGTCATTTATTTGGGATTACTTGAGTGTTAGAAATGAACATCACAAGAGAATATAAATAACAAATTACCATGAGCCTATCGTTGGGGAATCCTCTATTTCTGCAGTCCCCAACCCCTGGCTGGTATCGGTCCCCAGTCTGTGGGAAAATTGCCTTCCATGAAATTTAGGAAGGGGGGCAGAGCAGGAGGTGAGTGGGGGGTGAGCAAGAGAAGCTTCGCCTGTATTTGCAGCTGCTCCCCATGGCTCACCTCACTGCCTGAGCTCCGCCCACTTCCAAGCAAAAATGTCTTCCATGAAACCAGTCCCTGGAGTCAAACAGGCTGGGGCCCACTGCCAGGTATTAACTTAATGACTGTCAGAGCTGGAAAGGAGCTGAGGCATTATCTAGTCCAATGACTGACTGTCAGACTTATGTGACAGTGGAACTCTTTTATTAAAAACACTCTGTTCAGATGCCTCATAAAAACAGAAATTCTCTAGCAGCTAAAGCAGGGGTCAGGCAGGGACTAACACCTTATGTTTTTATAGGGCCCTATGACCCCATATTCAGCCCTTGTCTCTCTGCTTCCACCATGACCCCAAGCCAGCTCTGTGGGGCCTGAGCTTACCAAAAAAAAAAAAAAAAAAAAATTAAAAGACATTCTGTGTGCCAGGCCCTGTGGTACGCCCTGGAATTACAGCAACAAATAAAAGCAGACATGGCCTCCACCTCCATGAAGCCGTCAGTCCAGAGGAAACGCCATTTCACACTTCCCCTGCAAGATCTGTGAGGTTTTGTTTTTAATTTTATTTTTAATTGACATATAATTGTACACATTTGTGGGGTACAGAGTGATATTTCAATACATGTATATAATGTGTAGTGATCAACTCAGGGTAATTAGCATACTTACACCTCAAACATTTATTATTTCTTTGTGATGAAAATATTCAAAATCCTCTCGCTTAGCTATTTGAAAATATACAATAAATTATTGTTCTGTGGTCACCCTACAGTGCTATAGAACACTAGAACTTATTCCTCCTATCTAATTGTAATTTTGTGTCTGTTACCCGACCTGTCCCTATCCTCTCTCTCTGCTACTTTTCCAGCCTCTAGTAACCACTATTCTACTCCCTGCTTCTATGAGATCAAATTTTTTACCTCCCACATGTGAGTAAGAACAGGCAGTATTTGTCTTTTTGTGCCTGACTTATTTCACTTAACATAATGTCCTTCAGTCTCATCCATGTTGCTGAGAATGACAGGATTTCTTTCTTTTTTTTATGGCAGATTAGTATGCCACGGTGTATATGTAACAAATTTTCTGTATACATTCATCAGCTGATGGACACAGGGGTTGATTCTATATCTTGGCTATTGTAAATAGTGATGCAGTAAACATGGGGGTGCAGATCTCTCTTCAATGTACCGATTTTCTTTCCTTTAGACAAGTACTCAGTAGAGTAAATGGTAGATCATATGGTAGTTACATTTTTAGAAATTTTTTTTCTTTTTGGATACTTCATATTGTTTTTCATAATGGCTGTACTAATTTACATCCCCACTAACAATGTATAGGAGTTCTCTTTTTTTCCATCCTTGCCAGCATTTGCTATTCTTTATTTTTTTAATGATTAGCCACTCTAACTGGGGAGAATTGATATCTCATTATGGTTTTCATTTGCTTTTCCCTGATATTAATGATATTGAGCTTTTTTAAAACATGTACTTGTTGGCCATTTTAAACTCTTCTTTTAAGAAATGTCTATTGAGATTATTTACCTAGTTTAATGGGATTATTTTTGTTGTTGTTGTTGA